ATGGACAGATAAATCTGAGGTGAGTAAAGGCGGAAAGACAATAGGAAGATCCGTTTTTCAGTCTTTCAAACTGACTCCGTTTCGATATACTACCATCCAGTTTTGGACGTTATAACCCGTATTTCTAATATACATCAAGCAGCACTAGAAAGTTGTCTCATCCTCAGCTGCTGTCTTGCCCTCTCAGGAACTCAAACTGTAACAATGGGGTTTGGAGCCAAAACTCCTATCTTTGGGTTATGCCATCGATGTCTAACGAAATAGCTTTGTCTGCTATCAGAGAATAATTCCCATGCCAAATCGAGTACAGGAAGAGTTGATGAATTTCCAATGAGTAAAAATCATCGTCATACACAACAAAGTAATACAAACTGCATAGTACCTATGTAAATCAAAAGTACCCATCCAGAAGCATTCTAAGCAGTTTGTCATGGTTTATTTGTACATTAAAATTCCTCCTACGCAGTATTGTTTTTTTGGAAACTAGGTACGCCCTTTGCATTTATTGAAGGAATCGTGAGGAAATCATGAAATTGATGACAAGTTGTACATATAGTGGATGATTTGCGTTTTTGGATCACAGGTACCGAGAGCAGGTCTCATCTAGGGTGTCCACACCTCCTGAAATGATGCCCTTCTCTTGTTCAATACTATGGTTTGAAAAGTAGGATAGTTTGGTTGTACCCGGTATTCAAAACAATAGATAGTTGACTCCGATGAGGATCGAATTTCGTCCTTTTTGAATTAATTAAACCTAATTAGATGATAATTATCCAGCACTACAACGGTCTGTGATTTGATTTTACTGGCTGCTTGCGTCCTGTCAGACGAATAAGTTTGTTTTGATGATAAATTACTCGGGTATTACAATGAGGATGATCATTTTTAACTGGTAACTCGAACACTATGGATGCTAGGCAGTTCAGTTTGTTGATGGAATGAGGGAATGAGTACTGTTTGCATATTAGCTGGAACCTCTGCTTATATGCGTTCTATTTTTGACTTTTATTTCCTCAAAAAAGTAATTGGTAAATGTGGTCGCACATTACGCCAAGTTTGGCTGTTCCACCACCACCACCTTCCCGTTTCAGCTTCCCTTCCAGACATCTCGTCTAGTAAGTAATTATAATCGCTATTCGAAGACGCAAAAGTAGATCAAACAATTGAAACTATTGAACCGCACCACAGAACAGAAGACAATTTATTCGTTATTCGTAATGATGGCCAACTAATGTTCTGAATACCTGCCATATACTAGGCTTTACAACATACAGGTAGTAACATTCACGCAACCCGAAGCGATCGATCCAAGTGACTGCTGGGATGTGTAACGTTCTCATCGGCTTTGAATAAGTCCACCACAGACACCTAAGGTCACCGAAAACCACTCCCGTCATCCGAGTGAGGGTGGGAGTTAGATGGGTGTGTGTGCAATGGGCTGTTTGATTTGTTTAGATCGATGCTAGTCTGTGTAGCTGTTTTAAGGGTACCCACAATTCACAATGTACGCCTNCGCCTTTTTGTGTGCATGTTACACGTCCAGAATCTTGGGTGGTTGAAATTCCCCGTCGATACAGGTGGAGTAGGGCCAGCAACTCTAGCCATATTGCTCGCTTGTTTTTGTGTTTGGCCGTCCGTGTGTTTAACATTGGGGCTACACACGAGGTCCCAGACGCATGCCAGCACATNGTGTACTTGTGTGTGTGTGTGTGTGTGTATGTGTGTGTGTGTGTAATCGCCAACGGCATCCCCCCCCACACACACGCAGGCACGCTCGTTTTGTCTTAAATCTAGGATTTGCATCTGAGGCAAAGTACTATATGTAACTTGATGATCGCATCCAACATGAATGTGCGTTGTCTTTGTGTTTGCATGGGCTTTTGAACTGCTGGATCGGGAACTAATTTCGCCCTAATGTTTCTCTGAAAACACTCATCAATAACTAAAATGTTTTCAAACCTGTTCAATTGATTTTGGTTGCAACGATCTGGTTTAATTCGCGATTGGTTTGAATGCAACCCTGAATCCCGTCGGAACAGTCACTAAAGCAACAGCAACGGTAACTAAAAGCACTGTTTTTCAGCGTAACCTCGTCTTGTGCTTTGTGTTTTAATTTCCGATCCGGTTGTCATGTTCATGCACGTAGATTTCGAGGGTGAGGAGGATAAATTAAAGACAGACTATTAAACATATGTGTACGGGGAAAATTTGTGTCAGAGCCTTTAAAAAGACGTGATAGCCCGTGTTGAACAGATCCGAAATGCAACCCTTCATTTTAACAGGGCTGACGATTATGCTGTTAAACCGCGAACATTAGCATCCTAAAAACCGTACATTAAACGGAGTCCCATCTGCTCTTTAGTCCTGATTGTGTATTTCAGTTATCTTTAAATATAAGATACATCACATTTGAGTTTCAGGATGCAAAGTGTAATGAAATGACTTTTTGTCCTCGTTTTGCCATGCCGATCGCAAAGACATGATTGACAAATGTGTTTGACCGTCCGTCAATTTTGATACCTTCATTCAGCCGTGAGGATCACGATTTATGCGTCGGTTTGACACTTTAATCAAGTTTTTATATTTTTTGTGGCTTTCAGCCTGTTCTCGTTTTCTGGATCAACTTCTGTTTTACATGTGGCAACAATCGAATGGGCTGATCCAAGCTTGCTACTGTAAAATATGTAGTTTTATTTGTATTACTCACGAGTAGCTCAAATACGATTCTTGAAAACAGTTCATCTAGTTGTCTTTCTTCAGTTTAGTCAAGCTACTCTCTTGTGTATCTCGATGGATGAACTTTCAGACTCAACCAGTTATCCGCCACAAAACTGTGGAGTGATAAGGGTTACTTTCAGTTGAATAATTAACACTTTACTACAGCTACCATTGATTAGTTCAGTGGTACATAAAGGGGTTAGGTTTGTTTGTTGGTAGGCCAGGGTTGGCGAGCATTCGTAGCGATCGTTTACAACTTTAGCGGTACTGATTTTGGTTTTTGGCTTTATCTCTGATACCATTTAATCAAGTACATTCATAAGTCCTGGGCTGCGATGAAGGGCCAGCTGAGGCGAACTCATGCGGCCGCTTCCATGATACTTCTTTCAACCGCACCCGACATTCGAGAAATAAACTCGATAACAAGAGGGGTATCTGTTACTTGTCCAAGCTACCGTAGGGAGTATAATAATATCAGCTCGATGCCAGAACAACTGTCGATAACCCATACATGTCGCTTCGTGCATCTACCCAATTTTGTATCAGTTCTCTATCTTCATCCTGGTACTTCTCTCGGCTTTCCACTTCTTTCGTTTACTTATTTATTAGTATTCAAACAAAGGACAACTGAGAATAGCAATCAAACCCGGAACACGAAACTTCGGGGTTGATATGTTGTATACATCGAAAACTGAAAGTTACTCGTAATCTGGTGATTTTACACAGATTGTTGCTATCAGATACAAGCAGTATGTCGTTGGCAGTGATGACGAAATGCTGGAAGGTTCCGAGCGTCTTAGACAGACAGAATCAGGGTTTTGCAATCACCGAGAAAAACAGAGCGAACCGTGGGATTCGTGGAAGAGGGATTTCATGGACGGACCTCATGTCAGCGAACACCATTGTGCTACATTGTTACACGCATTGTCCTTCATTTCCCAGTTTCGAATACCTACAATTGATTGTCAGTTACGGTTGATACAGAAACAAGTTCATGACGGTACTGCATAAGTGCTTCTTCACCTGTTTGGAGCATGCGCGTACCAGTCGTTTCAGCCCGATTCACATTGCTTATTTAGTCGATTTTTTCAGCCCGTTTCTTTTCCCTTACTTCCTTTTTATTGAACAAAGTGATACAATTTTCGGGAAGGGTCAAGTGGCCAATCAAAGGGTTATCATACAACATACATACAGTATTACGTCAGTGTTTAGCAGTGGGATTCGAACATACATCCTCTAGGGTGATAATTTTGTGACATTTACCGCTTGACCTCACCATCGTTGTTCTCACCGGGGTAGATGTTTATTCCCCTGAGAGTTAAACCAAAAGTGTTCGATGCGATATTATCATCATCATCGTTGTACAGCGAGATACAGCGAAGCCAACTTCGTTGGTCGCCGCTAAGCTCACCGTGTACTCAAAATAAGCCAGATAGGTATTTGGCTTAATTGGAGGGAGGCAAAGAAACCTCTTTAGTCGACACACAGAGTACACAATCGAACTCTGCATACATACCTTTTCCAGCATTCTATCCTGACAAGAAAATAACAACAAGAACGCTATTGTTGTCGGTTAGTTGCCGTATTCTTCAGTATCTTCAACCAACTAGTTGGAAAGTATTTGGGTCAAGGAACACTGCGATTGTTGGTCGACTATGTGTATGCATACTTCCAGGACTTGACGCAGAGTGAAAGTTTGGTCAATGCACCCACTACCAGGTTAGAATCCTGCTTGCTGTTCAAGAATATTCATCTCGATTAGGGGTGTCTGGTGGCGAAGTAACA